GAATTGTGAAGTAAAGTCATACAAGTGTGATGGCCTTTCTGTTTTAATAATCTTCCTCAATGAATTGACTTCAAAAACTGGCAAAAAGTATCAGATCTTGGAAGTTACTGATTTATGCTGAATCTTTGTCTTTTGTGTGTTAAACATTGCTGTGTTGACTTTAGTATAAAGTATAGTTTAACTGAAGTAGAAGGAAGATGTCATTTTTATTAAGCAGGCAGTTACTTTGATTGAAACTTCTGTACTTCTCTGTGGTGATTGCTGCATGTTGGACTTCTGTAAAATGACAGAAACATTTTAAGTTCAGATTGATTAGAGATAATTTGAAGGCACTTACAAATTGCAGACTTTTAGTCATTATATTGATAGTCTGACTGTGAAAGTAGGTAAACCTAAGTCAAGTTTACCTTAGGATTTACTTTTAAACTTCACTGGTAAAATTTCATACCTATTTATTTTGGTTTGGAAACACATAGCATATTGTCATAAATTTGTAGAAGGTTTATGTTTTTTTTTTTTTTTTAAGTTTGTCCAAGTTATGGTTGGAAGAAAGGAAGCTGCTTTTTAAAAAAAACCCTCTCTGCAGATTTATTCTTTGTTTACCAGTACTGTAGCTATCCCAATCACTTTAAATTGTGGCTCACCCTTTATTCTCTGAGCAGAGGAGATTTTCATAGCTTAGAGCCTTGTCTTCCATCTTGAAGAAAATTCAGTTATCTGTTAACTGGGCTAGAAAGAGGTCAGTATACATGTCTTACATGGCAGTTGTTCATTTAAGAACTCCTGTCATTCTCCTTGGAAATACCTAGTGCATGTCCGGTCGGGGCCCCTCCCTGGGCAGATGGAGCTCGTTAGCCCTGTAAGACAATCCATCTACGTCCTGAGGACCTCGCTGCCACCGTCCAAGCGTGCTTGGCCCCGGCAGATGAACCTCAGGATTAAAGGGTGGGCTCAGTTCCGCGCACACTGTGTCTCACCTAAAAAATCCAATGCGCAGGCTGGAAGGTGTAAAGACCTTCCCCGGTTCTTCGTTCGCGAAGACTGGCCATTTAGA